TTTTTTAGTAGAGACGGGGGTCTCACTCTAGCTCAGGTTGGTCTCGAACTCCTGAGCTCAAAGGATCCGCCCACCTCAGTCTCCCAGAATGCTAGGATTACAGGCGTGAGCCACCACGCCCGGCCTAGTTCATTCTTTAATATAACACTATATCCTTATCACATCTGAGAAAATTAACAGTTATTTCATAATATGTGATACCCGAATTCAAAGCAAAGGAGCCTTTGAAATTGATTCCATGCTTCTTTATTTTTCTGAGACTAGTATTATTAATGTAATACTTCATTAAATAGACTAGATTTTAGATGATATTAAGGAAGTCTTGATTTTTTTAGATATGAAAATAATATTATGATTGGGTTTTCTTTTAATATAAAATGAAATGGTATCTATAAACTGCTTTAAAATAATGCAGACAGAGGAGAGGAAAGAGTGTATGGTGATACTGATAAAAACAGATGGGCAAAATGTTAATTTTGAAGCTGAGAATTGGGGATATGGACTTATTTCACTATTCTCTCTACTTCTATGTGTATTTAAATTTTCCATAATAAAGAGATTTTAAAAATATAAGCAATAGCTGCATATTTTACTGTTCATATCCTCTGACTATGATCAATGAAACTAAACATTAATTACAAAAATAATTACAACAACAAATTAAAACCACCTTAAACTAAAAGATATTCTTCTACATGACACAAAAAGAAAAATCAAAATTAAACTTACAAACTATTTGGAAAATAGTGATCACCACAACACTAAATATTAAAATTTTTGAAAAGAGCTTGAAGTTTCAGATGCTTTGATAATGATGATGATTCAAGGAAGAATGACAATAAATGAACTAAATATTAATGCCAGAAACTAGAAAAATAACAAAATAAACATAAGAAAATCAAGAAAATGAATTAAAGGAAAAAATGAGTAATTCAAACTAAAAACCAAATTAGGATATCGGAGCTGGGTATTTGAAAAAAGAGTGACATAGATATACCACTAGATATCATAATTAAAATGGAGTAAAATCACAAGTAAGAATGAAAATGAAAATGTCTTAACCTTAATCAAGAATAGATTTTTAAAATATAAGAATTCTGTTGCACATGTTGAACACATTTGTTGATTAATATGTGAATAGATGAGAATTTTGATGAAATTAATGATTTATAGAAAAATCTCTAGAAGAGTTCCATTTACAGTGGGGGGGTGGAAAAAAACCATAGTAGAAACTGAGAAAACCAGTAGAAAACTACTTCTTAAAACGATAGCTGGGTATTTATCAAATATCTGGAAATGTGTGAGAAATGTCTCTTTTATATTACTCAGTGCCCCCATCTCTTACAGAGTAAAACCTGTGTGCCTGGGTGTGGTTCAGAATATGTCACACACAAGCAAGGGCAATCATCAAAGTGTAGGGTTTTATTTGTAAAGAAAGCCACCTAAGTAGCTAATAATTGAAGATTAATTTCGTAAATTGTAGCTTAAGCAAAAAATATATGAGAATATTTAATGCCATGGGGAGGAAAATGATAATCTATGGATTTTTTAAAAGTTATTAAATAATCCTAATTTTTGTAAATGCGTATGTGTTTATTTATGGAAAAATACTGAAAGGATATACACAAAGATATTAAAAATAAACATCTCTACATGATAGAAAGATAAGTGCTTTTTAATTGGGGACAGAATGTATTTCTTTAGCTTTTTAATTTCCTACATAAAAATATATATTACTTTGTAACAAAAATTAATAAATATAATAAAGGCAAAACTGGATGATATGTAAGAGCAATGCTGCAAAATACTGAGTCTACATTTTTTTCAGCTAAGTACTGTCATATAGTTACGGGCTCAGTTTACAAATGAAACCTGTATCTAAACCAAAGGAATATTAAAATAAAGTGATTAATGTCTTCACTGTCTGCCAGTTGAATCAACCTGTATATTCTCAAGTTGTTCAGCGGTACATAACGTGGTGTGGCTGCCACAAAGCAGAGCCATTATCATCCTCATCGTTGCTATCAGAAGTCCTTAAAGATCCTTGATTAATTGATTGATTATAGATTCATTCCTGGAAAGACATGTATAAATGTTAAAAGCAAAATAATCATTAATGGAAGATTTTCTAGGGAGTTCGTAATTGACATTTAAATTCTCTCTGAGACTACTTACCTGAAGAATTTATTGTTTTCCAGTTCCTGAGAGCAGAAATGGGTCGAGACTACCACCTGGCAAAAAAATTATGTCAGATGAGTAAGTACAAAATACTTTCACATTTTCCAATCTTTTCTTTGTTTCTTAAAATAAATTCCGTAATATGTCAGATGGTTTGATTATCATAAGTCTAGTGAATTCCCTGATAGTGTCTCAGTGATTCCTTGATAGAAAATTAGGTTGATTGGTTTAAGGACCAATTTTGACTTCTAGAGTACCTTTTAGTGGAATAAATTAATGTAGGCTAACATAGACTGATTACTACCACTGGAAAATAAGGTAAAATCTTTACGCTCATGATAGTGGGTTAGGAGCTTTATACCTTTAGTTTCAAAGAAGTGTCAGGTGTTACAGCAGTCGAAGCTTACTTAACATGCATTTATTCCCCAAATATTTGAGTGCATTCGTGTGCCAGGCACTGTTCCAGGCACTGGAAATACAACAGTCAACAGGACAGATAACATTCCCATATTTATGTCTAGTGTTGACAAATAATAAACTAATTAATAAATAGTGTGTCATTAATGATAGGTGGTAGAAAATGATAGAAAAATTAAATACAGAAGAGGGAATAGAAGGTACTGGGAGAAGGCAAAGCAGTTTTAAATAGGATGGTCTAGGAAGGCCTCACGGAAGGACTAGAGTAAAGGCTTGAGGAAGTTGAGTAGACCGGCCACGTGGTTATCTGGAGGAGTGGGCCCGGCAGGATGAGTAGCAGTGTGCTGTGGTGGGAGTGTGCCTGGTGGGAACAGCAAGGACAGTGTGACTGGAGCAGAATGAGCAGGGGGCGTTGATAGGCGGCGAGGGCAGAGAGGTTATGGGCAGGGGGTTGTCATAGTGCATAGGATCTTTTCTCAATTTAAGGACTTTCCTTTTTCCCTGAGGGAAGTGGGAAGCCACTGGAGGCTTTTGAGTAGAGGAATGATATGATCTACCTTATTTTTCTTTCTATATTTGGTTTTTAGTGGTTTGACTTAATATTCAAAATAGTTGTGGTTTTCTTTGTATTTATACTGTTTGGGACGTTTACTGAGTTTCTTAAATCTACAGGTTGGTGTTTTCATCAGCTTTGAAAATTTCTTGGCCATTACCTTCTCAAATACCACTTCTGCCCTATTCTTTTTCTCTCTCTTCTTTTCCTGGGTCTCATAAATTAGAATTTTTTTCATAGTGTCCTACATGTATCTTACACTCAGCTTTGTTTTTAAAAATTTCTTTTTATTTCTATGCTTCAGTTTGGATATTTACTATTGACCTGTTTTTGAGTTTCTTTATCCTATCTTCAGCTGTGTCCAATCTGCTGTAAAAACTATTCAGTGAATCAAAGATTGTATTTTACAATTTTAGGATGTCTATTTAATGATTTGAAAAGATTCCAGTTCTCTGTTGAAATTCAACTATCTTTTCAACTATTTTGTCCATCTTTTCCTCTAGTATATTAGTCATAGTTATTTTTTTATTTTATTTATTTATTTTTTCTGAGACAGAGTCTCACTCTGTTGCCCTGGCTAGAGTGAGTGTCGTGGCATTAGCCTAGCTCACAGCAACCTCAAACTCCTGGGCTCAAGCGATCCTTCTGCCTCAGCCTCCCGAGTAGCTGGGACTATAGGTATGCGCCACCATGCCCGGCTGATTTTTTCTATATATTTTCAGTTGTCCAGATAATTTCTTTCTATTTTTTAGTAGAGACAGGGTCTCGCTCTTGCTCAGGCTGGTCTCGAACTCCTGAGCTCAAACAATCCGCCCGCCTCGGCCTCCCAGAGTGCTAGGATTACAGGCGTGAGCCACCGCGCCTGGCCCAGTCATAGTTATTTTAAAGGAGAAAATTCACGAGGCACAGTGGCTCGCCCCTGTAATCTCAGCTACTTGGAAGCTGAAGCAGAAGGATCACTTGAGGCCAGGAGTTCAAGACCAGCCTGGGTGATATAGCCAGACTCTGTCTCAAAAATAAATAAATAAATAAGCAAACAAATAGATAGAAAATAGCAACTCCATAATTAAACTTTATTGATAGTAGGGGTCAAAATATTCATGAATGTCGGACTTAAATTAAGTCTTATGGTAAAGTTCTCAGAGTGAAAATACAGCAGAGATTTGGGGGTCTACCCTTGCTTGCCTCACACAGAGTCCCCACTGTGGATAGAGGATTCTTAATCATTGGCTAATTTTTAAAATGGGCTTCTTGAATACTTTAACACTATCTATTTTATATCTGAGATGATTAATTTGCCTTCTTTAATCCTTTCAAGCATTTTTGACCTGTAGAGTCATTGAATAAACTATTTTGGTCAAAACTATTTTTGGTGGCTCACAAACACAGAATTTCCAGTCAGAAGGAATCCTGAGGTAGAATCATGTTCAATCCTCTACTTTTATAAAGAAACTGAAGCAGAGAGAGGTGAGCAGCTGGCTCAGCACTACTCACAGTGACACAGTGACATTCCTAGTGACACAGCCAGAGTGGGAACCTAAGCCTCTTTCTCTCACAGTACCTTTCTTCTCTCAGATGGCTAATGTAGAAGCGAATGATTCTGTAGCTCTACCTCCCAATTCTCTGAATTCCTTGAGCCTAATTGTGGGAGAATTTATATATTTTCTTACCATATCCATCAATCGTTTTAGAAATCCTCTGCCTGAAGCTTACAAAATATTAACATATGCACTAATCTCACCATATCTGTCAGTCAGTTTTGGCTGTTAGCCCTGCAGTATGCTACATAAACAGCAGGTGTTCAATAAATGCTGTTGACCTGACTTGAACCAGTGAGCATACATTAAGTGCCAGGTCAATGGGGGTGAAAAAGTTCAAACTGAGCTATCTTAATGGGGTCATATCCTTTTAAAAAACTTCCTCCCTCTCTTCCTTCTTTCCTTCTTTCCTTCTGACAAATGCACATTGAGCACCAACTCTGTACCAGACATTATGCTGGGAGCTGGAGAGACAGTGGGAGTCAAAGCACATTGAGGTTGACATCAAACACCACTATTGGCTCACTCAGCAACACTGTTCACTCTTTTCTGTGTTAAATAGTGGTGCTTCTGAAACTAAGGATTAGACTACAGGAGAAGGAGTTATGAGGGTCCTAGACAGGACCCATAACCCATAAAGCCAGTTGGGAAAGAACACTGCTCCCAAGAGGAAGTAGGGGCTGACTGGCAACATGGGAAAAGAGGCTTAGAGATGAGGGTTCTGGGGTGCTGGTGCAAAATAAAATTGGCTACCCCTGAGGCAGATTCCCAGCCACGGGTATAAAATTAGGGAGGCCCAGGTTAGCAAGGCCAAGCAAGGTCAGTGAAGAATGGAGAGCTGGAGCAGGCTCTGACTCAGGGAAGGAAGCGCTAGTTCTTTGATGTTAGTAGAAACATGTGCCCTGAATCCCTCTTTGTATTTAGAGCAATAGACAAATGAATTTTTCTCATCTACTTTACATATAAATACTTTATATGTAAATGCTTATAGTATTCATATTCTTTTGTCTTTTTTTCCATATTCTAGCTCCTCTACATAACACTCCCCCTTTCTCTATGTGTATATTTATAAATTTATAAGTTTGTATTTGTAAACATAGATTATGTATTTATATATGTATGTATTGAGCACCTACTATGGGAGCATTCTTGAATACATTGTTTAATTTTTAAGACAATTTCGTGAGGCAGATATCATTAATCTCACTTTACAGATAAGGAAACTGAGGCCAAGCAAGGGGAACTAATTTGTACAAGGTCATGCAACCAGTAAGTAGTAGAGTTAGGATTACATTCAAGGTCTAACTTGAAAGCCTTATGATTTTCCTACCATGTTTCTATTTCCTCATTTGATTAATAAGCTTATTTTTCTGGTAAAGGAGGCAGAGACTTAGAAAATAAATACTTCCATGGATCATTCAGGCTAGAAATGGCTCCTAAGGTCAACTACTATAGTATATTTATTTTCTTTATTTGTATCTAAGGCAATTAATTTATATAAAATAATGCATCCTTGTCCCTTCAGAAATGTTGTGCACATTCATTTTCTTGAATAAAGTCACTGATTTCTGAGGTCTGGTCTTGTCTTGTCTTGGTCTTGGTCTTGGTCTTGGTCTTGTCTGGTTTGATCTTGGGTCTTGGTCTTGGTCTTGGTCTAGTCTTGGTCTTGGTCTTGTCTTGTCTTGACAGGGTCTTGTTCTGTCACCCAGGCTGGAGTACAGAAGCCTGAATGTAGCTCACTGTAACCTCGAACTCCTGGGCTCAAGTGATCCTCCCACCTCAGCCTCCCAAGTAGCTGGGACTACAGGTGTGCTCCATCATGCCTGGCTAATTTTTTTTTTTTTTGGTAGAGACAGGATCTCACTATGTTTCCCAGGCTCCTAGGATGTTTTCTTGTTGTCCGATTACAGTGTAGTCATTTATATTTTCATTTGGCTGTAGGGCTTCCTATCTGGCATCCAGGTGTCCATAGGTTCTTTTCTTTTTGCCCACCTTTTAAAAAATTTGTGTTGGGTTCCCCCAAGAAATTTTGTCTGTTGGCATAGCCTTGAATTTTATATTTTCAGCATACCGTTTTTATATGGTCTTAATGTTTCCTTATCATTTTCCTGCTCTCTCATGCAAAACTGACATCTCTGCTCAATACTATTTTCTGCCAGGCAGTTGGGGCAGCCTAGAAAAGTGGTTTTTATATGGAACTGAAAGTCAAGAGTCCAAAGTACTTTTCTCCGTCCATCTCATGAATGGCTGTGAGATGCCCAATCTATTTCCTGGTCACTTCACCTGTAAGTCAGAAACTCGTGGCTCAGTTTCCTCAGGGTGCCACATTTCTGCTCCCAGGCAGCCAGAGAGTCTACGCAAAGGACATTGAGGCGCCCTGGAAGACTTACTTCATAAATTACAACAATTGTAAATGGTAAAGAATAATGGCTTGAAAACCAAAGTCATTCTCATCATTACAGGTCTCATGCAAATACAGATGTACTGTATCTTCAGAAAAGATAGTTCCTACAAAGCTTTCTATTTTTTTTTTGAGTAAAATAAATGATCCTTTCTTATTAGTTTATAGTATAATTTTATCTAGGAGTAAAAAGGCTACTTTCTACTCATTTGTATTCATTTTTCCATTTTTAAATATTTCTGGGGTTCCTGCTCTGTGCCAGGTACTCTCCTAGGGATTTAACTGTGAACAAAGTAAGTGCTCTGTGCTCTTGCATGTCCCCCAGTCTGAGGAAGGTAGAGCCCTATAGGCAGCAGGACTCCTGCCTCTATGCCCCAGCCCTTCAGCCAGAAGAAAACACCTACTGAATGCTTGGGAAGGAATCAGGCCTTTCACTAAACCCAGAACCATTCCAGGAGAACTAATAATAACCAACATTTATTCAGCACTCACCATGTGCCAAGGACTGGACTAAGTACTTTATATACGTTATCTAATTGATTAGCCAAAATAGCCCAGTGCAATAGACAATACTATTACAGATAAGGAAACTGAGGCACAGAGATAGTAAGTACTTTCCCCACCATGACCCAGCTAGACAGTGGCAGAGCCAGGATTCACATCTGACAATCTCTCTCCAGGGTCCATGTAGGCTCTGCTTTCCTTATGGAGCTCAGGTTGGGAAACAACCCCTAGAATACACCTGCATGTGCTAGAAGCTTCTCTTAACTCTTTACAAACCCTACTAGCCTGCTAAATAAGAAGAATTTTTGATTCATCACCTAGATATTGCTGGGATAAGTTTCAAAGCAAATACCTTTCCCTACTCTGATAATCGGCAATTGCCAGCAGTTGTTGTTAAACCATGGGGGTGGCTAATCTCATACTTCAATCTCATGGGGTAATCCTAATTTTGACATGAAATTTTCTGAACTGTGTTCCAAGGAATGTTAGTTCAACATTTCTTAATAAGTGTTCCACCAAAAATTATTCCATTGTCAAATAAATTCGGAAAACCACATTCTCCTCTCTATAGTGTCACTCCATAAATTAATATAACTATTATTAGAGACGGATATGGTCTCAGGAGTTTTGCAGGGCTCTGCCCTGAAAGAATATGTGAACGTGTTGGTTTGCATATCAAAAGCTGCTCCACCTCAGGAGGGCATCTCAAAGGTCAGTAGCAGCTGCTTTCCAAGGTGATGCTGCTGTCTCAACTTCGTGGTTCTCACCTGCTTTGAAGGACAAAGCAAGGTCTACATGGAATCACGGGATGAGAGCTGATCAAAGAGTGTCAGCCCAGAGACAGATACCTGCGGCTAAAACAAATTGGCCCAAGGGACAGTTCGTGCTTGACTTCTGATGACATGTCTCTATTTGCAATAACTAGATAAGAAATATGGAGCCACTATATCTCTGTTTAACCCTACTGTTAAGTAATAGCTTTATCTTAGAACTTAGAAGCTTGTCTTTGAAAGATTTTGTAACCAGAGTTAGTTAAGGGATCCATAGAAGCCTTTTGAAAGGCTTTTAACCCAAAACAAACTACCTGTTATTATGTAAATCTGTTACCCTTGGCAACTAATCTCTGTACCTTTAAATACCCATGTAAAAGTTTATTCTGGGCCTTATGATTCATGGGGATATCGTAGGGACCCCTGAGTACCTGCTTTTTGCCTGTTATCTTTATAAATCTATAAAACTATACCTTCGTCTCTGTGTATTCTTTTATTTCTATTATTTTCCATTTTCTATTATTTTCTTATCCTTTGTGACGACCCCTACCTAAGGGACCCGATTTTTTGCTGGGAACGTAGCTAACTCCCCGCACTATATGTTTTTTTGGTTGTTTATTTGTCTGAGACATGGTCTCTCTCTGTCACCCCGGCTAGAGTACAATGGGGTCATCATAGCTCACTACAACCTCAAACTCTCCTGGGCTCAAGTGATCCTCCTGCTTCAGCCTCCCAAGTAGCTGGGACTACCTACAGGCACGCACCTCCACATCCAGCTAATTTTTCTATTTTTTGTGGAGACAGGGTCTTTCTCTTGCTCAGGCTGGTCTCAAACTCCTGACCTCAAGCAATCTTCCCACCTCAGACTCTCAAAGTGCTAGGATACAGGCGTGAGCCACCACGCCAGACTTACAGGTTTCTTCATAGTTATGAGCATATTAATGGTTCTGTAAAATCCTGTGATTATTCCTTACTATAGCTTTACCTGATTAATTTCATTTAATCTAGTTTCCCAAATATATATGAAGAAACTAGTATCTAAAGAAGCAAGTTGGAGAAACACTATTCTAGAGAGAAGCTTAGCCTCAGAAAGATTTAGACTATTAATGATAAATATATTTTAGCCAAGTTAAAATGTATGAAAAGGTACTTTTATTAGAAACTTTACATGTATATATAATGATGCATAAAATACCTATAAGATCCTTAAAAGCAGCTTCTAAGCAAGCACACAGTCGTGCTACCCCAGACTGATGATAAGTTGCTAGTTATGTTAGTGGATTAGGAAATAAAGTCCTTTGTTTGGCGTGTCAGGATGAAAGCCAAGAGTGGGGGCCCATGAGCCAGTGAGTCCTAGCCCAATCATCCACAATTATCTCTTCCTCCTAGTCAGATGAAAAACACACTTGATGTTTCAGTGCCCCCTGGGGGCCACCAAGATATCAAGCAGGAGTCGCAACATAAGTGGATGATGTAGAATTATGAATATTCTGCAAGCCAGGTAGGAAGAAAGAAAGGAGAGATCAGTAGAGAAAGATCTGAAAAAAAAAATAGTCCAGAAAACTCTGAAACAAAAGTCGTAAATCTTTCTGGCCTCTGGAATGGTGGTAACATACCAACAAGCCTAAAAAAGTCTATCGGTGTGATCCAAAAGAAAAATGACACAGTCACATAAAGGATCAGCAAAAAGGAATAAATAGTGCTAACAAAAAAAAAGGGTTCAGTGAAGAGGGGAAAACATCGGTAGGCAGGCAATGACTGGAGTGTAGACTAGGGTTACCGTTGTCAGGATGAAGAGAAAAAAGTAACATCAGTTTCCCCTACTTGAAAGATGTGAAAAATCACATCTCTACCATGGAAGAGGTTGCGTTAAAAAAAATACTCTGTTCCTTTGTGTTCAGATGAGACCTTTAGTAAAGAATGTCATGTAGACAGTGGGTGGATGAGATGAGAGGAAAGATTAACAGACCTCTAGACACACGTTCTTCTCATTGGCAAAGTCTCCACATTTTGCAGCATTTGTATTATTAATACCTTCTTTGGGAAATGATTATATTCACGAAACACTTTGGCTCCTGGCCTAGGAGGGAAGCCATATCGAGGTGCTGGAGCTTGCATTCTTTGGGTAAGAGGTACAAAATATAATATAATGAATGAGGATCATTTCTCTTACAAAGCACCGAATATAAGTTGAGTATTTTCTCTATTTGCACTTAGATATACCTATGGTGTAATTGTTAGTGTTTATCACTTGGTACATTTTCATCTGCTATGATTGACAGTTCCAACCCCCTTCTAAGAAAACTGTTTGCTGAAACACTTTGAACATTAATAACACACATTCTATTGTCCATTTTCAGTCCTAATCTACGAACCAGAAAATCCTGAGGCCAAGGAGTTTTTGGCACTTATTGAAGAAATGTTGCTGATGGGTAATTTTAAAAATTGAAATTCCTTCTTTCTCATAGCACTATAAACAGTCATTCTTTAAAAACCCATTATCCCAAGAGATTGTCAAAATGTACCTTTAGGAAGTGGTTAAGAAAAAGCTAAATGGCTGTCTTAAATGGTGTAGGGAAACAGCTTGTCCTCTGTGGATGGTGGAGATGACTCCCTTCCCGCTGTGGGCTGGAACTGCCCAAGCAGGGCAGGCTCCCTTCGTACCAGGCATCAGGTACTGACTGACAAGCAGCACGTGCTGACACCCGCTGTGGTAAAGGAGTTATCCCATAATTCCAAGGAAATCCAATAAATACCCTCTAAATTACCGTAAGCCTCACTTCCTCTTACTCTATTTAAGAATTTCATTGACAATAGTATTGAATAAAAGTTATTTTTATAGACCTGTGTTTTAAGTTAACCTTAAATCCACAAACATCTACATGCCGATAAGAATATGTTTCTTCCTTACACTACCACTTTGATCCTACGTACAGTTAGCAAAGTTCAGCTCAGCTCTTACGTTCCAAATATACATATTTCTTGGTAGAGGGAGGGGCCAGGAGAATTATGATTTTTTCAGAGTGGAAGTATTAAGAAACATTTTAAGCAATCCTCTTCTTTTCTGTGGCAGAGAAAGGTCAGAATCTTAAGAAAGATGATGAAGATAGCGAAGAAGACAGTAGTGGTGAGAGCGAAGGAGAAAGCAGGGAGGACCTGAATGACGAGAGTTCTGAGGAATGTGAAGACGGATCATGAATGCTGCTGCTGTGGTTTAAGCTTCACGTATTTTCATTAACGTATACCATGCAGATATAAAGAAGAGAGCTGCATTTTGGTCTAATTGTTCTTTATTTGGTGCAAAGTTCTCCTAAGTTATTTATATTTTTACTTGAGCTCCTTCCTAATATTTAGGCCTTAGCGCAATGTGAGTTACTCAGAGAGGAAAAGAGTCGTTGAAAACGCTTACATAGCACTATGTGCCAGGTACTGTTCAAGCTGCTCTGCACACGTTAATTTATTTAATCTAGCAACCCTGTGAAGTAAGTACTATTATTATCTTCATTCTACAGATGAAAAAACTGAGGCACAGAAGGGTGAGTAGTTTGTCCAGTGTCATACACATGTTGATTTGTAGAGCCCGGATTTGTACATGGACACTATGGTTCCAGAATTCATACTTTTAGTCCCCCATAAATGACCATGACTCCAGGTGCTCTTACATAATTTGTCTTATGTTCTTTATAGCATGCATCAGTATCTGAAATGCTTATTTAATTTTTTGTTCTTTTAATCTTCTCCATACCTGCCAGAGAATATAACTTCCATGAGACAGGACTTTGTCTTTTTCCTCATAATATCCCTAGCAGCTGAACAAGTGCCTGGCAAATAATAAGGCATATATACCAAATGAACTGAATAAATGAAGTGAAAGCTAATGAAAATATTTATATTCTTTCATGAAACATTTACAAAACTTTACACTTTTTATGTATCAATCTACATCATTTTGCTGACTTTGTATTCCTTGATGAATTTGTGCCACTTTCCAATTAGATTGTAAGGTAACTGTCTTAGTAAGGTAACAGAATACCTGAGGTTGGGCAATTTATAAATAACAGAGGTTTATTTAGCTCATGGTTCTGCAGGCTAGGAAGTTCAAGATTGGGCAGGTGTATCTGGTGAGGGTCTCATGCATGGTGGCAAGCAGAAGGGGAGTAGGTGTGTGCAGAGATCACATGGTGAGAGAGGAAGTAAGAGAGAGAAACCAAGGAAGCCAGACTCTTGTTAACAACCCACTCTCTTGGGAACTAATCTACTCCCAAGAGAGGGAGAACTCACTCAGACCTCCCCTTGCATCAACCTATTTATGAAGGATCCACCCCAATGACCCAAACACCTCCCACTAGGCCCCACCTCCCTACACTGCCACATTAGAGATCAAATTTCAATAAGAGTTTTGAAGGGGACAAACCATATCCAAACCGTAGCAATAACTGAGGGAAAAATGAGAAAAATATTCCTAAGTCATTTATTTGTGCTAATCTGATTTGAGGGGAAGCATTTTGAATTTTTATTCTTATGTTAGCACAGTGTCATGGCATATCCAAAATGCTTGAAGCATAGTTTATTCTTTAGGTATTCTATGGCCCGTTAACGTTCAGAAGAAGAAGCTCTGCTGCACCAATTCACAGGGGTGACCAAAAGAAATGAAGATGAGTATATGAAATCCTCTAGTTACCCTTCTTTAATTTGTAGTAAACTGTGAAGGCCTTGTGCATAAATAACCAAAGAGTATCATAAGTCTGGCTGACACAGAGCTCAGGAATTAACTGTTCTTTCATTTTTATTTGGGCTTAATATTCCTCCCACCATAGAAATACCACCATATGTCAATCTGATGATGCTTACCTGATTGTGTAGCATCCTTGCCCATAAAAGCTTCATAAAATACCCTAAAACTGATATTAAAAACTAAACAAGTTACAATGATATTTTAGTTTTCTTTTAAAGGAACAGGGATATTCTGAGGAAGAAACTCTCTGAATAAAAAACCATGATATCATAGGCCATGCTATACTTAAGTCTAAGAATTTATGAGGTTTTCTCACCTAAGATAATCAGTATGCTCTGTCCATACTTTTCATCCTACTTGCACTCCTTAATCAATGAAACTTCGGGTGTTGGAATAACCTGACAATAGGCATGTGTGTCTGTATGTAGTAATAATAGCTAAAAAATAATCTGCAAAGTATTTTTACATTACTTAACCTACTTACTGGCTTCTCACAGTAGTCCTAAGAGCATGCTACTATCCCGTCAACTATACAAATTGAATTTGGCATGATTGAGGACATCCAAGGTTAAATATTAGCTGGAGTGCTGGAATTCAGATGAGGAAATTGAAACTTAGATATGCTAGGTAATGTCCCAGTAGGACAGATCAAGTGAATCGTGAACCCAGTGTTCCCTGCTGCCTCACACATAGCTAAACTCTGGAAACTATTTAATGAGTCAGCCAACAAGTTGTGGATGTGTAAACACTTCAGTTCCAGATCTGTGCCTTCTTCAATAACTTTATAACACATTATATTGATGTCAACAAACCCAAATATCCAACAATACGAGAATACATAAGAATACCTACTCAACAGACTTGAGATGGGAACCCTCTGGAAAAGTTTTATGTATTTATTCAATAAATATTTACTGAAGGCCTAGATATTTCACGGGGATCAAAACCCCATCTCTGCTCTTAAGCAGCATTGTCGTTGTTGCAATTGAGAGTGATAAACACTGCCATTGAGGAAGTCCCAGGTGCTAAGGGACCCTAACACAGAAGGGACATCTAACCCAGCCTAGGCATCCAGCGAAAGCATTCAGAGGGAAGTGAAGTCTAAGCTAAGAAGGTAGAATAAGTGGTATTGGCTACAAGAAGAGGATGTGTGAAAAACCAGTCTGACCAGGGTAACAACTTGCAAAGGCCTAGAGACACAACCTGAATCCAGAAAGTGGCTAGGTAAGGTTGGATTATAAAATGAAAATGGATCAGTTAGAGTAGAGAAAGATGAAGCTACAATGGAAAAAAAAGACTGGGTAATGGAGGGTCTTAGAAGCCACGTTAGAGTTTGAACTTTATCCTTAGAATAATGAGGCATTGAAGGATTTTAAGGAAAATAGTCGTATTTTAGAAAGCATTCTGGTAGCCAGGTAGAAAAATGTTTTCTCAAACTACAAGTCATAATCCATTGATCAGTTATGAAATCATTATAGTGAGCCACAAATAGCTGAATTTTTAAAAAATTAATTACCTACAAGAGAAAATATCAGTATATATAGCAAAAGAGTATGAGAAGTATTGTTTCAGAAGTGTGTTTGTGTCCTAGATCTTGATATGAAATGTGTTTCTTCCTCTGGGTCTCAAAAAAATAAAAATAAAATCTGAAAGTATAGAGAACAGACTGAGTAGAATACAAAACTCCATTGTTACATAGTAACTCCAGCAGTCCAAAATGATAACCTGAAAAGAGGTATCGGCAAGGAGATTCCATGGAATGGAGGAGCTACTTCTACAGGGAGAAAGAATTGGCAGGAATCGGTGACAAATTAAATGTGGTAAAGAGGTAGAGGACAAAGATGACTCTAATTGGATAACTAGGTATATGGTGGTGCTGGCCCCTAAAAAACAGGAACGCAGAAAGAAAAAGCACGTTTGGTGAAGAAAATGGAGGTTCACTTGTATGAGTTGATTATGGGAAGTGTATTAGTTTCCTACTGTGGCTGTAAAGAATTGCCACATTGTGGCTTAAAACAACACAAGTTTATTATCTTACAGTTTTGAAGGTCGTAAGTACAAAATGGGTCTCACTGGACCAAAACCAAGGTGTTGGCAAGACTGCGTTCCTTCCAGAGGCTCTAAAAGAGAATCTGTTTCCTTGCTTCTTCCAGCTTCTAGAGCCCACTCATATTACTTGGTTTGTGGGTCCATTTTTCCATCTTTAAAGCCAGCAGTGTCTGGTGAAGTCCTTCTCATGCTGCCATCTCTCTGTTTTCTCTCTCTCTCTCCTGCATCCCTTCTTCACCTTTAAGGATGTTTGTGATTATACTGGGCCCATGTGAATAATCTAAAATAATCTCCTTATCTTAAAACCAGCTGATTAGCAAACTTAATTCCCTTTCTGTGTAACCTAAAGTATTCACAGATACTAGGTATTAAGATGTAGACATCTTGGGGGGTAGAAAAGTGCATTATTCTGCCTACCACGGGAAGTACTGGGTAAGGGTTAACTAGTTTTTTGACATTTGTGGTATGGAGTTTGGAAGAGACATTTGGGCTGCAGATATACCTTTATTAGGAGTTATCAGATTAGCAATAGTCATCAAAGAAACAGAGTGGATGGCCCATGGAGAGAGTGTAGCCTGAATAGAAGAGAATCAAGGATAGAATTATAATGACCACCAACATTTAAGTGGCAGTCCAAGAAGGAGAAATGCACAAAAGAGACTAAGAAGAACAACCACAGGCAAAATTAGGAAAGCAAATATTGTGGGTACTGTTGGTTGCCTACTCAGCATCTATCCCTTCCTGCTGCTTTGTAAAGACAGCCCTGATTCTGTTCAAATCTTCACTCCTCACACACAAAGCCATGAAACTCAGGCAATTAGTGCCTGGCCCTGTGCCTGGTGAATTGTAATGGTTCCAGAGGTAGACGTGTGACCTACCTTGGCCCAGTAAGATAAAGGATTTTATTTCATGATTAAGGAGATGTTCCTTCAATCCTCTGAGAACCAGGAAGCATGCTGCCCTAATTACTGCAGTCGTCTTATGATCATGAGAGAAACTAATCTTAGGATGAAGCTGTTGCTGTGGATGGAAGAACGAAAAGGTCCCTGATGATGTTCAGCTGCTGAATCAATGGCCCTGGGAGCCAGCCCTCTGTGTGAGCTTACTGTAGGCAGATGAACTATTGTTTAAGCCAGTTTGGATCAAGGTTTCTTTTAACCTGCAGCCCAAAGCATCCCAACTGATACTGATTACCACCACAGAAACCCAGAAAAGAGTTTCAAGGAGGCTTAAAATATCTACAAAGGGTGATTAGATAGCAACAAAATGGTGGTTGGTGATATAAGGGAAAGCTGAGTGTGGGTGGGGGAGCCATACATATTTCAGTGAGTTCGAGTGCCTAGAGGTAAGGAAAAGGAAACAAGGAGTTTGACTATGAGGGAAAGAAAAACTATGAAGTTCACTGGAAGTCATAAGATAAATGGAGTATTATTTTTAGAATCTTTAAGATGAGCGTGCTTAATAGGATGGATGATCATAACATGCGCC